TTTTTTTTTTTTTTTTTTTTTTTTTTTTTTTTTTTTTGGTACTGGGTATTGAACTTGGGTCCTTGTGCTTGCTTGCAAGGCAGGCCACCAAACCGCTGAACGAAATCCCCGGCCCCTGTATACCCTTAATTTTTAAAATGTGTAGGACAGTAGAGGATGAGCTAAATTGTTGTCATGCCTGGAAAGGGCCAGGCCTTTTTTGTATTATAACAGTTTTTTGTATTGTAACAGTTGGAGAACTGAGTCAACCTGCTCAGGAGTTGCACCCATTTGGGTTTGCCAGGTCTGTTCCAATATGCGCTCTACCCTCCGCCTTAGGCCTTCCCTCCACCTTGTGCCCCAGTGGCTCTCTCCTCATGCTCTTGGTGCCTCCTTCTACTATCCCTTATTATATTTGGTGCTGTTACATTGTTATACTTGTTATATTGGGTGCTGTAGCCTGGTGACGGGTCCTTGGGGAGCTACGTATCTCTGGTTAAGTCTTAGATGCAGGCAAGGATTGTAACTCTAGGTGCTGGATGTGATACTTTGTCACAGCTCCAGGCTCAGTCTTTTCCGGTTCCTTCTGTTTTTTTTTTAAGCTGCCCATTTTAGACAAAGCCTCACCCTCAGTGCCCCACGTCCTTGGAGCTCTGTGGCCATCTTTCTACCAACTCCATCCATTTACATTACTGTCTGGCTGGCCCTCTGCCCTTTGCCTTTGTTTATTTTTATTTGCACGGTACTGGGGGTTGAACTCAAGGCCTTCACACTTAACTGTTCCAGAAAATTATGAAACAGGCTCTCAGTCTCTAAGTTGCCCAGCTTGGGCTTGATCTTGCAATCCTCCTTGCCTCAGCCTCCGAAGTTCTGGGATGATGAGCGTGTGCTACCACTCCCAGCTTGACACTTGCCTTTGTGACCTGCATTCTGCCTTTGTCACTGCCTAGCACAGTGACCTGCTCACCTTCCTCTCAGAGCCAGGGTGTGAAGAGGGTGGGGGGCAATGCGCTGCTCTTTAGGTCATTGGAGATCTGACCAGACTTCATTTCTGAAACCATTAGAACCTTAAACACTAGGAGTTATTGTTCATTGTAGGGGATTCTCATGTACAAGCAGATTTAGGAGGGATGTTTATCCCCAGACGACTAGAGAATGGTCTGCCTTTGAGCGTGTCAAATTCTCAAGCAGCCTCATTTGTTGAATACCGATCAGTGCAAACCAGTGTTCTCAGATCAAGTTCAGCCAAGTGTGCACTGTATCCAGGGAATTTCATAGTCTTCTACTTACTTTAATGCTCCAAAGATAATTATATTATTGTCTCTAGCACACACATGAGGAATCTGAAACTCAGCAGTCAAGGCACTCATCCCAGGAAGCGCAGTTAGTGGGTTCTCAAGATGTCGGGCTCCTTATATTGTCCCGCACTATTATGACTTGTCTATATTCCCACCATGTGTAATGCAGAGTTCTGTACATAGTAAGCCCACAGTCAGTGCTTAATGAGTAGGCAGATGCAGGGAGAACTTCACAGGTGCCGTGATGAGGTTGAAGCAAAACTCATAGCTATCTCCACAAGAGGGCAGTCTAGCTCAACACAAAAGTTAGGAATGAAGGCGTAGCCCTTGTTCACTTCTGACATGGGATCCTTTTCTGTAAGTAAGCACATTCAAGAACAAATTTTAGTTTAGGAAGGTCATGGGAAGTGTTGGGTGGTTGACAACTGCAAGCCTGGCAGTAAGCAGGAGATTTTTGAATAGTTATGTTGACCTGGGCAGTCCCAGTCCCAGTGGTCTCTGTCACTCCTCTGGGCAAAGTGACAGGAGCCATGGAGGCCATGGGAAGAGTTTAGGTTTAGCACCCAGGGTTTCCAGAAAAATAATACAGCACTTCCAGTTATAGCCAAATTTCAGATAAGGAAAGGGGCAACTGTTTCAGTACATGTCCTCAACATATCATCAGGTATTTTGAGGCTGGAACGGGTAGGATAGAACCAAACCACCACTGGCTTGGGTTTTGGAAATAATGGACCGGGTGTGGGGGGGTGAAGAACAGGGTAGGTGAGGAGAAGTGACTCTGAGTTTGGGGGTCCTTCCCTCACTTGGGGTGGGGTAGATGCTGTTTCCTCAGAGAAGAGCAGATAGTGGAGAGAGATGGGTGGGATCTGAGAAATGTTTGCCAGGTGGAAACTGGAGAATGTGGTGAAGGAACAGACGTGGAGGCAAGGGAGGGGAAGAGATGGAGACAACTCCTCAATCTGGCTTCCAGTTGGGTAGCTGAGGATGAATTTGAAAAGGAAAAGTTACAAAGTTTACTTCATGCACGAACATATTTTTAAATTTTAGGCAATATTTACTTCAGGATATTGCATCTGAGGGTATTTTCTTGGCGAAATAAACGGAGAAGTAACACAAAGCAGCGAACTTAGTTCCACAGGGGCTCAGGAAACTTGACACCTCTGGGCAGCTCATTCACTAGCCCATTATGAGCTCATCACATGCTGGGTACTGAGTTACACCTGAACTTGGCCATAGTGTTTGACCGTCTGAAATATATCTTTCTGCTTCTTCAAGATCACTTCTTACTACATCTATTTGGCTGGTGGCTTTTAAAACACATGTGATAGAGATTAATCTTCAGCCCTTACTTTTCCTATTGCCCTAATCTAAGCATTAACTATGGAGAAGTTCTGCCCACCACCTCACAGGTGAAGCTCTTCAGAGCCTTCAAGCAAGGCTGATGCCATTATGAAGGCTGTGGTGATCTGAGCTCAAATTCAGTGAACTGACTTCTTTATCAGCCCTCGCCTTTAGTGACACTGCTACTCATGCTTCTCAGCAGTGATTCTCCTACTCAAATGCCTCGGTAAAGTAGGCTGCTCTGGTTATGCAATGAAATGGGTCAGTGTGCCTTAACATGTGATGAAGGATCACCCTAGTTGAGACATAGAAGAGGCCGTATGGAAAACCTTTGTTGATGCATTGCCTGATCCCCTCCACCCAAGATTTCTGTGGTGGTGGTTGTGCCTCAGGTACGATGCTAGACTGTGTCTTCCGGGTCGAGGAATACCTTCCCTAGGGCAGGAGGCTGTCACGTGCATTGCTCACTCATTAATTGATGGTTGGGTTTCTGAAGAGCCTGCGGGTGGGAGGAGTCAGAGAATCTGAGTACGGGTCACTAGCGGGGACATGAATCCCACTTTGCAAGTGACAGGACTAGCATTTCTGATTCCACCATGCTTTATTTGTAAGTTCTCAAAGCCTAGCTCAGCCATAATCTGAGCATAAACACAGAGATATCATTAGTTTCTTTTATAGTACTAGAATTTTCTTTCTTTGGGACTCTTATGACCATTTGAACATTTGCTTTTTGTTTAAAAATTTTTAAAATTTTATTTGTACTTGTTAGGAGTTCATGTAGTTTACAGTCATCCTGGGGAGTGGTTACATGTAGATAGTAGAGCATGTCTTCTTCTTTTTAAATCCCCTGTCCTATAATATCAACAGGAATGCTTTTCTCTTATTTTAAAACAAAAAGTGAACAACCTTTTCCATTAGATAAAATACATAGTATTTTTCTTTTCAAATACTCTGTTGATTTTATGTTCCTTCTTTTTTCCAGTAGGCACAGAACATGATAAAAATAGGAACTGTAGGAAATCATGAAGAAGGCAAAATAAGGATAAATATAAGTCTAGGCAAAGATTGGTCCACACCGATCATTTTATAATGTTTTTACACGTGTGAGAAACTTTTTATAGTTTTTATCTCCACGATCCCCAAACGAGAGAAATGATGAGAAGATGTTAAGGTGAAAATGCGTTAAATTATTCAGTTTCTGCTAGATAAGAATGATTCAGTTCCTCAAGAGAGTACAATTTTTTCTCCTACTGAGGACAGGAGCACTTTGGTCCTCAGGTGCTCATAAAGACGACAGTGCCGTGTTCCCCGTGAGGACGTGTGACACGGCCACTGTCCACCCGTACTCTGGACGAAGCAGCACTGTCCTGCTCCCATCAGGTGTCTTGGCTCAGTTCCAGAAGCCCAGCTCCTTGGGCTATGTGGGTAGGCGAGGCAGTAAGATGATTGGAAGCACGCCAGAAACCCTCCTGCCCGGGTAATGTGACAGTAAATGGCCGATGAGTAGCAGAAGCAAGATTCCGTAATCTTGACAATGCACATGACTGTGTTGGAGGGGGAGGGGGAGTCCAGACTCATTGGTGGTGACATCATTTCAGAAGTTACCTACAAAAATCAGGTTGTAGTAATTGGAGCTGCGGACACACAGGAAGTTGGGATGAGTCAGAGCTTGAATTCACTGCCGGTCCAGGGCAGGCCGTGGAGGACTGTACCCTGTTTAAGTGGCCACACCCTCACTATCTGGCTGCGTTCTGTGTTGAAAGAGCATTGGAAGAAGGCAGGAGTCTCTTGTTCTCTGGTCTCAGCTGGGTGAACTTCACTTTCCACATCACTACTCTGAATTCCTTTAGAAGGACCTTTGTGAGAAATTCATAAGATAAACTATGGACAGCACTTGCACAATGTCTGATGGTTAACTATATATCACTATTGCTATTTTTGAGCAGTAGTTAATACCAATCACATGTGGCTAGGCTAGGGAAGAGATGCTGATGAGCTTGGCTCCAGGTGCTTAGCTGTTCCCACAGCATACAGAAGTAGAAAGGAGGGACTGGATACGCCAGCACAGAGGCAAAGAAGGGCCAGAGCATCTAAGTAGCGGGACTGGCCTTAGGGCCACCTTCCTGGAAAGTGGAAGGACCTTCCCTGCAGCTGAATCCAGGGTGACCTGCTTCGTGCATTAAGGGGGGACCTCAACAGTACTGTCCATATCCACAGCATTGCTAGGTCCTGGTATTGGGCAGTTTATAAGACCAAGAGCCAGGAAGCCTGGAAGAGGGCCTCTGATCATAAAAGAGTAGAGGAAATGTAACACAGATACCATGGAGGTCATGACTCCCCTGAGCCAAGAGGCCGAGGTGGGCCTTCGGGATGCAGCTGGAAAGCATGCATGGAAGGAGAGATTCAAACTTACTGTGCTTAGTACCAGAATAGAAGTCACAGTCCATGTGGGCAGCCACGTGGTGGACTGCATGTCTCCAACATATCTGTCTTCAGTGTCTGCTGAATACCAGGAGAAGCGAGGTGCCGGGCATGGGGAAAAGAGTGTCAGGACACAGGAACATGCCTCACAAGGTGTGAATCAGGAACCAGCCATAGCCACACACACACTGGATAGAGTCAGGTACATGGTGGGTAAGAGCAGATCACAAGCCCCAGTTCCCACCATGGGGTCAAGGAGGTGTCCCCCGTACCTCGGCTTCTTCAGCTCTAAAATGAGGTGAGAATTAATGCCATCTTCCTTTTAGAGCCACAAATGGACTAAATGAGTCAATGTACACTTGACATTTTGGGGCTTGGCTTGTAAAATAGTACTCATTAAATAGACGCAGTCATTATACTATTGTTAGCAAGTTTAAAATCGAATTATCCCAGTTCCCAGAGAATTAACTTTTTATGATATACACCCTATCAAAGGCAATGAGGCAAAATGAATGTTTTATTTCTACTATGTAATACATTTTCTATAGCACTCTTTTTGATACAACCCCATATATATATATATA